GTGATTTAGGCAAAGAGAACGTACAATCACCCTTTCACATCTCCAGAAGATTGGTTTGAGGCCCGAGACAAACACTGACATCCAAGAATGTGCAAGTCTGTCATATAAACTGGTAGGGTATTCACACAAACACCTGCGCACATATTCCCACATACTTTACATGATCATTAGGTTATTTACAATATCTAATACAATGTAGCGTGTTGTGGAATATTTGTTTACACTGTAAAGATGTGTCTCTGCCTAAGGTGCCTTCTGATTGGTTTAATAAAGAGCTAAATGGCCAATAAAATAGCTAAGCAAGAGAGACTAGGCGGGACTTCCCAGCAAAGAGAAAGAAAAACTGGGAGGAATCTGGGCTTGAGATTTCCCCAGCAGACTTGGATCAAGTCAGATGTGCCATACTAAGAAGAGGCAACTGAGCAACATGGTAGAATGTAGATTTAAAAGTATGGGTTAATTAAATTATAAGAACTAGTTAGGAAAAAGCCTAAGTTAAGGCCAAGCTTTCATAACTAGTAAGTCTCCTTGTCATTATTTGCAGGCTAGCAGTCCAAGGATAGTCCAACAAGAAAGCTTAGTATAGTGGATGATATGGAAAACTCCCTGTGTTTGGCCCAGATTAATACAAATCAGTTGAATTTGTGAATTGTAGAAACTGCAGATTTGATAGAAATGGATTATTTAGGGAATGTCAACAGCCCTTTTATAAAGCAGATGCCTATGAGGGTCAGAAGAGGGCCTTGGATCCCCTGAATCTGGAATGACAGGCAACTGTGAGTCTTCTATGTGTGTGCTGGGAACTGAACTTGGGTTCTTCAAGAACAGTAAAGCTCTTAAGTGCCAAACAATCCAGTCCACGAACAGCCCTTTTCCATTGAAAATTTAAAAGGTTAAACTTCCTTAACCCGGAGCCCTCCTTTGCTGCTCTGGGCTACGTCTTTCCATGTCTGTCTGTCTGCTGTGAAATCCCGTGCCTCCCATGTAGTTTCCCCGTCTAGCCCTTGAATTCATCTCAGGCAGCTACCCACTCTAACAGAAGAACTCGATTAATGTCCACAATGGCCTCTCAGATGTCCTCGGTGAACCAACTAAAAAGCCTGAAATTCTATTTTTTTTTATTATTATTTTGATTTGGTATCCAAACACAAATCCTGGCAATGTAGGGTAATCTCCACATCAACTAACAGAGCCCACACAGTACACATGCGTAATTGTATTGGCACCCTGCAGCAGCTCTCAGAGCACTGCAAGGGACTGACTAGAAAGGAAACAGAGGGATCTTAGTAATAAGTAAACTGGGGATGGTGGCTTACACCTCTAATCCCAGCACTTGGGAAGCTAAAGCAGGGGCATAGCTGCAAGCTTGACACCTGTCTGAGCTACATAGGGAACTCCAGGCTAGCTGGACTAGAGTGAGATTGCCTCAAACAATAACAAAATTAGTGAATGAATCACTAGATCTGGAGTCAATGAGCAGGTCCAATGGAGTCAATGAATGAGCAAGCCCAATGGAGTCAATGAGTGGACTCAATGGAGTCAATGAGTGGACTCAGTAGAGTCAATGAGCAGGCCAATGGAGTCAATGAGCAGGCCCAGTGGAGGCTCAAACACAAGGAAAACTGAAGTCACCAGCCTGGCAATGCAGACACATACCTACAGGTTGGATGCTATTGCTTGGTTTTAATGCTTTCCTTTTTTCATTTTTGTTTTTTGAGACATGATCTTGTTGTGTACCCTAGGCTGGCCTCAAACACATGACCGTTCTGCCTCCATTTTCTGAGTATCAAGATTACAGAATATGCCACATCTGGTGGATTTGTTTTATTTTTATATATGATTTTCCCCCTTTTAATCTGCAAAATTGCTTAGGATTTATACATGTATAGAGATACTTTACTCCTAGCACTCAGAAGGCAGAAGCAGGAGGATCTTTGCGAGTTCAAGTCTAAGCAGTGTTGACCTAGCTAGGGCTACATAGTCAGAGAGAAAGGGGCGGGGGAGTTTACACTGAGTAAACATGTTAGTGCCTCTAAGCGACCTTATGGAAGTAACTTAGGACAGCCATGGTGCTATAGCAGGATTGAAAGTTCAAGGCCAGCCCAGGAAATTACTGAGACACATGATAGTCTTGTTGGTCACCTTAATGGGATTTAGAGTCACCATAAAAACAGATTTCAAGTTATGTTTGTGGGGGATTTTCTAGATTAGATTAACTGAAGGAAGCCCCACTACAAATGTGGATGGTCCCACTGCATGGACTGGTCCTGCATTGACGGGAAATGAGAGCAGACAAGAGAACAGCAGCATTCATCACTGTACTTTCCCAACTGTGAACACAGAGTGGACAGCTGCCTCCTGCCACCACATCTTCCCACCATGATGAACTGCACCCCCCCCCCAACTCCGAGCCTAAACCAGCCCTTCCCTCCTCAATTTGTTTTGTAAGGTCTTTTGTCATAGCAATAAGATTTGTGACTTGTATAGACATTGTTTACAAATGAAAAGTAAGCAATGGTTCAGAACTGATGGTTCAGTAGTAGAGCTCTTGTTTCACCTGTTAAAGGTTCTAGATTCAATCCTCCATGGGGATATGCGTCTGTGTGTGGGGTCACTTAACCTGGGAAGTGGGGCAATGCTTTTGTACCTTAAAGACAGTGGTATTGTCAGGCACACTCCTTTAATCCCAGCATTCGGGAGGCAGAGGCAGGTGATCTGAGTTTGAGGCCAGCCTGGTCTACAGAGCGAGTTCCAAGACAATCAGGGCTACACTGAGAAACAATCTTGAAAAACAAAATAATAAATAAATAAATAAATAAATAAATAAAGTGGCAACTCTGAGCTGGGTGTTGGTGGCGCACGCCTTTAATCCCAGCACTCAGGAGGCACAGGCAGAGGCAGGTGGATCTCTGTGAGTTCAAGGCCAGCCTGGTCTCCAGAGCGAGTGCCAGGATAGGCTCCAAAGCTACACAGAGAAACCCTGTCTTGAACCCCCCCCCCAAAAAAGTGGCAGCTCTGGTCTAAGAGTTCCTGGACCAAATGACCAAACAGTCCCCACTGTCAGCCCTCCCTGAAACTCTTGCAGGAATTTCTCAAGATGAGGCAAGAATTCAGGGGAGAGAGCAAGCTGTCGGGAAGAACTCAACTTCTCTGAGCCAGATTTCCCTCTGGTGAATCAGCTCCACCTCCAGGTATGGCCAGGGCCCAGCAAGGAGCAGCAATTAAGATATGCTCATTCCAAGGCTTGTCAAATCTTAAGGAGACAAGCACACTGTCTATCTTATCAGGGTTATTAATGGCAAGATTTTATTGAGGTGATTTGATACTATTAATCTTCCTAGAGCACTCACTGCGTGCCAGGCATTAAACCTACACAAAGCATGTCTGCCAATGACCGAGGTCTCCTCACAGTGGCCCTATGAGAAGTGGGAATATGTCATGCCCTCACTGAATTGAATAAATGGTTCACTAGCTGGGGTAGGGGTGGGAGTATAAAAAATGGAATTCCTAGGCTGCATCTCTGTTTCTAGAGCCAGCTCTCTTGATGACAGTGGTGGTCCATAGCTCCCACCACAGGCTGAACACCACAGTTCCAAGATCTCTGTGAGTTCGAGACCAGCCTGGTCTACAAGAGCTAGTTCCAGGACAGCCTCCAAAGCCACAGAGAAACCCTGTCTCGAAAAACCAAAAAAAAAAACAAAACAAAAAAAAAAAAAAACAAAAAAAACACAGTTCCAAAACAGATCAGAAAAGAGTATAGAAGCAGAAATGAAGCCAGAACTTCTCCCAAGAAACTTGTCTGCTTCCCATACTTGCCATGATACCGTTTCAAGCATGGAGGGATGGGGGTGAGGGCCAGGAGTGGGATGGGAGTCTCACGTGAATCCTCCTATGTTTTGAGCCATCTTCAGGACATCTTCCAAGGAGGACCCAGCAAGGACAGAAATTGTTTGTTTGTATGGTGGCAGGACACTGGAGACCTTCAGCGTGACACTGATGACCTCTGGGATGTGTGCTGGTGAAGAATCCTCCACAGCTGGTACCAACATGACTGTGCCAGGGAGAAAGGAAGAGTGGCTGTCATGAGGATGGGGAACCTGGCTGGGTACGAGTCCTTTCTTCCTCTGGATACCGTGACCCCCGTGGCAATGACCTTCCCCCATAGCAGCTCGGTTAATGACATGAACACCCACCCAGGTGAAACCTGGCTCTAACTAATCCCAGCCCCCTTGGCCCTTGCTGGTGTCTTTTACCTGCCACCCACCTGCTACACTGCATCTCAGAGAACTCTCTTCATTTGTTCGTGTCGCTTCCTGGTTACCTCTAATGGACTCATCTTCTTTCAATGCATTTATCTCCTACCCCTGCTAACTCTCCCAGACCCACTCTTCTGAGATGCTGCCCTCCACCCCTGCATTATTGGTTTCTGTGTTTGCTTTTGCCTCCTCTGCTGATTTGCCATCTCCTCCCACTTCTCTGGCAAACCCCACTCACTACTTCAAACTCTTCACCAAATGGTGTCCAAAGGATTCAGGGCTTGGAATTAGGGCTCCTTAGCTATCAAAATTGAACAAATGTGTCTCTCTCTCTACTCATTCATTCACGGACCTGTGGTGGGTGATTCATCTTGTCAACCTGACTCAATCTAATCCAGAATCAACTGAAATGCAAGTCTCTGGGTAATTCTCAGATTTTTCTTGATCAGATTATTTAAAACAGGGAAAACCTTCTGTAATGTGGGCGGCACTTTCTGATGGCAGACCTGATGAGGGACATGAAGGGAGCAGCTTTTTGGTTGCTTGCCCTCACCCTCACTATCAAGTTCATCTACCCTGTATTACAGCATTCCTTTGCTGATATTAGAACCAACTTCTTCAGACCTCCAATGCAGATGGAAGGCCAGCAGGTCTCTAGAATCCTCCAGGCCTTCTGTACCACGCTGGGATTGCTGACACATCCAGCCTCATGAGCCGAGACACTCTAGGATTCACAGCCTTTCCAGAGTGAGGTAGCCACTGTTGGACTATCTGGACCATATGGTGCATGTCAATCTAATAAATCATCCTATAAATTTTGCTCCTTTAGAGAACCTTGACTAATACACATTTTCATCCCTTGGCTCAAACATTTCCACTGTGGGTACCACTCAGTGGGTGTCACACACAATGCTTATTTGGTATCTGTCTCTATACCATGAGCATCAAAAGGCTGTGACCTCATTTTAGCTACTGTGTCCCATGAAGACCTACACATTCATGATTGCTTAGCAAAGCAGGACCGACTGATTGCCCATCACTGGGACCCACAGATAGCAGATTACTCAGGAAACAGAAAGGGCTCAGTTACCCCTGGGTGCCTGGCAATCTGGGAAGTCAAGATCCAGGTAGGTCTTCTGGTTCAGGACGGGTAGCAGCTGGGAAATCATCAGAGGATTCTGGAAGGCCCCATCCTGTATGCTGGCCTGCAGAGATGCTCTTGCCTTGATGCATGCTGTGCCCAGTTCTACCCCAGAAGCAGGGGAGGTCATCAGAAACTGGGGAAGAGAACAGGAGGTAGGTCAGCTACTGAGGAGGAGCCAAGTCTTCCAGCCTCTCACCAGCACACCCTCCATTGACTTGCTGAGTGGTCATGGCCCCAGGGTCTCTTTCCCACCTGCAGTGCCAGTGGGGTGCTGTAGATGTTCCCAAAGTTGCCCTCAGGGGTCTGGGCCTTCAGGATCTTCTCTCGAACTTTGTCAATGGCCATGGTGATTCGTGGTCTCAGATCAGGGTTGAAAACGAAACGCTCCAAACAGGTGAAGGCCAAGCCGGCCATGGCTTCTGTGTCTAGAGGGATAGGGCCTAGGATGAACTCGATAGCTTGATGGGACCAGGCTAGGTGGGTTTTGGGGTTCAGGATCATCTGGGGTAACAATCCAGGACTCCCCAGATCCAAACATTGGACATACTAAACCCCAGGAAACCTCTCAGGCCTAGACAAACTGGTTTGGTTGGTCACTGAGTGTCTTGAGAGCAGCAGGTCAGATGGACAGGTTTAAGAAGGGAGTCCCAAGAGGATGGCTCCTACAGTACCTGCTCCCAAACCAGGATGCACACTAGGATCACAGAGGGAGCTTTATTTTATTGATTAATTCATTCATATTGTTTTTGTTATGTTGGGTATTGGATTTAGGGCCTCAGGCATTCTGGGTGCTGTGCTACTGGGCTACATCTCCTGCCCCTCAGAGAGTTTGATGCTAACAGCAGCCCTGTCTGCCCTCAGGCAGTCTGATTTAATTGACAGGAGGAACAGCCAGGGCCTGGGAATCTTTAAGTTCTTCTCCTCCCTATATATAATCTTAACGTGTTCACTGTGTTTCTCTACAAGTCTTTGATACAGTTCAAGCCTCGTATTGACAGAGGCCCTCGAGTGCTTTTCTCTCTGGGCAATCATCTACCAGATACCCTCATGCCACCACCCCCTTCCTCTACCCTACCCTCCATGAAAAAGGCCTTCCCTACTCACTTAGGGAAGCACAGGACTAGCAGAGACCTTGAATCATGATGATAAAAAATGGATGTGGTAGTCAAGGTCACACAACAGAAAATCAGATCACAAACCAGGTATCTATCAGGATCCCAGGTTGTATGGTGCCAAGAACACACAATGTGTGCTAAGACATATGTATGTAATGCATCCTTTATTGAGATGCTGCTGGGAGGTCATTTCATAGGAAAAGCCTGACTGAAAGGAGTAGGGGATGACCTACAGTGAACATGTAAAGGAGCTGGGGTGGATCCAAGTCTGGTTTCAAAGCTGGCTCTCAGCCCCCACCATTTTACTTCTAAGGGATCTGACAAGGAGATTCCCAAGGAAAGGTAAGCATAATGGTGGGTCATAGAGGTCTTCCCCTAGGACTGGGGTTGGAGGGAGGCTGGGTTTTGTCTACTCACCCACAGAGAGGTGGCCCTGGCGTACATGGTGGTCATGTTCAATAGCATACAGGAGCTTTCCCACCACGCTGTCATGGACCCGCTTCTGGTGGACACACAGTGCCAGGATGCTGAGGCTGTACTGGTAATAGCTGCTGTGGGGGTGGCCTTCATGATTATGCCCTGAGATTAGAAAAGCAAGGAGTAAAGAGACATGTGAGGCTTTGGGGTTTCCCTTTCAGCCTCTTCCCAGCAAGAAACTCACAGAACCCCATGGTCTTCATGCTCCAACACGTCCCATGGAGACCATGGCAGCTGACACTCCTTCAGTGCCCAGCTGAGGTCCCAGTGTGGGCCAGGTTCTGTGTTTAGAGGTCAGAGTAGAAGATGACAGCCCAATACATGCTCATGAGATAGCACAACTGTAACCGAAATGTGATGGGGGAAATACTTCTGTGTATGTTTATAAATAAAGTACTTGCTTGGCCAATGAGACAGCAGGTTAGGCTGGACTAGGAGTCAAAGAGGATTCTGGGAAATGTAATAGAGAAGTGGTGTTCCAGACAGGAAGTGACATAGCAAGGAGACTCATATTTAAGAAGAGGAAAAAGGAAGTGTTGCTCTCTTTCCCCTCGGCTCCTGCTCCAGCGGCACGATGTGATCCACCAGCTAGGAGGGACGCCAATAAGGCGTCCGATAAGATAAGTCTTATAAAATATATAGATGTATGATAATTGATACTGAGCTAACAGATGAGAATCCTAGCCATTGGCCAAGCAGCATTGTAACTAATACAAGTCTCTCTGTGTATTCATTTGGGCCTAACTTGGGCAGGTGGCTGGTGTAAAGCTTACACGTGGCAGTGGGGCTCAGCGGCTTTTGGCAGAAAGATTTATTGTAACATTTATCGTAACAGAAATGTGACCAAGGTCTCTTGGAGCCACATAGCAGAAGTCTTTAAATAGCTGGGAAATCAAGACAGGATTCACAAAAGTAACTCTAAAGTAAAGGGAAGAGAGCACAGAGCTAGGGATGATCTAGAAGGGGCATGGAGGAGCACACATGACTATCCAAACTTGTGAAGAAAGGTCAGTGTGGCTGGAGCACACAGAGAAGTAACCAAACCAATGCCTAGAAAGTATAAGAGGCAAGCCAGGCTGGGCCTGGGGGCTGGGAATGAACAGTGAGGGCCCCTGCAGGACTTAAGCTGTATGAAGAACAGGTTTATATTGAAAGCCTTGCTCCAGCTGTTGGGCTTGGGTCCAAGTTAGGAGACTGGGAAGTTGACAGAGAGGCTAAAGGGTAAGAGGAAAGGAGGCTGGACTGGTGTCCCAGAGGTGGATAACATGTCGGTCTTAGTGACCGAGCATCCCAGCAGATTCTTCCTGGGGTTAAGATTGGCCACTGGGGAGGAGAGGATGACCTAGAAGCCCTTCCCCTAGAATGAGATTGATGACTACTCTCTATGCTATCCTAGAGTCCTCATCCAGTGGCTGATGGAAGCAGAGACAGACATCCACAGATATACACTGAGCTGAAATCGGGAACCTAGTTGAAGAGAGGGAGGAATGAAGAACGAAGGGGTCTGTACTTGGAGGTGGGGGAGAAGGAATGGGGGTGAGGGGAGGGAGAGGGGAATTACATGTGAAACAAGCCTGTTCCCTAACTTGAATTAATAATAATAATAATAATAATAATAATAATAATAATAATAATAATAATAATAATAATAATAATAATAATAATAATAATAATAATAATAATAATAATAATAATAATAATAATAATAATAATAATAATAATAATAATAATAATAATAATAATAATAATAATAATAATAATAATAATAATAATAATAATAATAATAATAATAATAATAATAATAATAAGAGAAAAAAAAAAAGATTGGCCACTGGGTCCAGCCTGAGACTCTAGGTGGGTCATGACCCCTTTGTAGCTTGGATGATCTTTTCACATGGGGCCACCTAAGACCATTGGAAAACACAATAGCAAAATTTTATGGTTGGGGGTCACCACAGCATGAGGAACTGTATTAAAGGGTCTCATTAGGAAGGTTGAGAACCACTTCTCGACTTGATGTGGACAAAGGGGACGTGAGACAAGGCCTGGAAAGAAAACCCAAAGCTATGACTCTCTCCAAAAACCTCGTCTGCTGAGAGCAATTATAAACTTGAGGCCTGCCTCAAAACTACAAACAACAAAACCACTTGAGGAGCCCTCCCAGAGTTCCCTACACATTCAGATGGCATCCTCCTTACCAATGGCTTTCTTCTCATCCTCCAAGAACCACTTCAGCTGTGACACCAGCCTGTCACCCTTTCGGCTCTGAACAAACTCGCAGTTGGCCCTGAGAGCAAGCAGGTAGAGGGCCAGGTGGCCTGCAGAAAACTTGGTCTGGCAATCACTGTTGTCATTGCTGGAGGCAGACCTAGGACAAGGCAAGTCAATAACAGCTTTATGAGAAAATGCTCTGCTGGTAAGCTTGGCTTGGAATCACCTCCACTAAGGTCACAAAGCAGAATTAGCAGCCAGTGTGCTGGTATGGAGTGTATGCCACAGATACTTAAGAAAGGTTAAATTCAAGGATGATCCATAAGGGTGCCTACACTCAGACCACCTGGTTTGACCCCCAGTTTGGCCGTGCGCTCTCCCCTTTATTTCCTCTCCCTTCCCTGCATCACCATCATCATCACCATCGTCGTCGTATTATTATTATTATTATTATTATTATTATTATTGTTATTATTATTATTATTATTATTATTATTACTTTGTTTTTTTTGAGACAGGGTTTTTTGAGACAGCTTTGTAGACCAGGCTGGCCTCAAACTCACAGAGATCTGCCTGCCTCTGCTTCATGAGTGCTGGGACTAAAGGCGTGCACTACCACCCGCCCAGCATTCCTGCATCTACTTCTTGAAAAGGAATGAAATCAGGAAGGTATTTCACAGCTCTTCCCCCTTTTTTTATTTTTATTTTTTTGTTTTTGTTTTTGTTTTGAGACAGGATCTCACTGCAGAGCCCTGGAAGCCCAGGAACTTGCTCTGTAGACCAGGATGGCCTTGAACTCATAGAGATCTGTCTGTCTCTGCCTCCCAAATCCTGGGATTAAATGCATGAACCACTAAGCCTGGTGATTCATAGCTTTTTCTTTTCT